GTTTCCAGGCTCCTGCCTTTTACTCAAAGTCTGAGTGTCTTCACTGAGGTCCCACAAAAAAATCATCCAGGTCTTCTGAATCCCACTCTAGCCATCTACCCTCGCTAGCCATCTCCTTGCTCTAGTCACAGGAGTATCCTTCCTTACACAAAAAGAGTAAACCCTGGCCTTGGATGAAAATCAAACTGGCCCAATAACCAAAATTATATGAATACACATCTTCAGAAAGAAGAAGAGATGAAGGGTGTTTGTTTCTGCTTTTGCATCTACCAACTGCTCTGTTTGTGGTTCAGCTGAGCAGGAAGTTCTAGGAGGAGCAAGCCCACATGCTGGTTGGCTCTTGCTTGAGTCATTCCATTTTGGTAATGCTTTATACCACAAAAAGTAATTTCTTATCTCCCCATGAGAACCCTGTGACAGGATTGCATTTCACAGAAAGCTGGGAATGAAATTTAAACACTGCCAAGTTGTGTAGAGTTTTGGACCCCATGTCATTATAGCTTCTGGGGGAAGGGGATAGCTCTGTGGGGGAAGGGGATGGATCATTGAGAGAGTGGATCAGAGAGTGGAAGGACATTGGGTGGGAAGATGAATTGTATTCAGTATGAAACTCTGACTTAGACTGAGGCTAATAGGTTTATGCTGGAAAAATTGTAGGAGATTAGGTGAAGACTGATAATAAATTTTATCGTCCTACCTTACAGGCTGAGCTCTCCCAGTGAGAGGAAGTGGGAAGTGGCTTGGGAAGGCAAGGGGAGAAATGGATGACATGAGCCTACGCTACAAACCACATCTATTTTCCCACAGCCTAGTTCATTACAAAGAAGCTGTACTGGCCAGCAGGGAGAGTAGTTGCAAAGTTTCAAGACAGGTTCCCTGGTCTGTACTGAGGCAAGATGTGAAGCCACTGAGTTACTATCAGGATTATTCTATTCTTAGCATCCCAGCATGTGTTCAGCCCCCACATACCACTATCTAAATATAGTCCCTACTGAAGGACAGATGCTGCCAAGTTGCATCTGACCCTCTCCTCTCTTGCATTCTGTTCCTGAAAGACACGTCAACAGTCAGCATGTCCTTTTGTCTGCCCAGAGCTGTACAAGGAAACCTGTACTGTACTGTTAAAGCCTGATCTCAACCCTGGCCTTCCTGGCCTCTCCTAGCACTGACCTTCCTTTCAACACCTTTTCTTATTCCTTTCCTCCTCAATTGTTGCATTACTCTTTTTTTTTTTTTTTTTTTTTTTTTTTTTTTTTTTTTTTTTTTTTTTTTTTTTTTTTTTTTTTTTTTTTTTTTTTTAGTCTCATATGCCTCTGTCCTTTCCCTTCTGATTGAACATGATCAGTGGGAGGAAGCAGGCAAAGTAATGAAAGAAAATGTGTATGTGCATGTACATACGTACTGCAGACACCCAAACCTCTCTGACAAGAGCTCTTTTGTTGCTACAGATCTCCTGCCAAAAGGGCAGGGAGATGGACAATTTTCTGATTAAATGTGTTCCAGTTTTTCACACTGATTTGTATTTCCAGTAGCATAAATCCATAAGACTCTGAAATGGGAATTTCTTAAACCGATCTGAAATCTAAACAGGACATATCTTGATGTGAGTATGCCATGGGAAAGTGTGTCTACTGCAGCATGGAGTGGATGGAAAGTCTATCACAGTCAGTTACAAGAGACTCACAGAATTTGTGGGACTCCTCACACAAAAGAAGAGGTCAATTCTTCCCAGTATGTGCTAGAAGGTCAGACAGTGCAATCCCCCAGGGCCAGGTCTGGAGCGAACCCTGACCACTTGTCAGTCTGTCAGTGCTGCTTCCCATTTGCACAACAAAGCTCTTCAGGTATGTGTCACAGAAAGCAGAGATGTTTTCTCTTAGAAACACTACTTTTTCCAACTTCTCCCACCTCTTCAGAAAAGCTGTTGTGTGACACCTTCCAAGATTTCTGCAGCTTAAGCAGAAGCTCCCTGTTAGTGACACTTCGTGTGGATCACTGGGTGCCCAGGAGAGGGCATCTTTTGGACATAGGGAGCAAGTGGCTGATCCTGAGGGCAGCCTGACCTTCAGGATGGGCAGGGAGCCTGGCTTTTGGACTGAGCAGCCACCCTGGCCTGGGACCTCAAAGGCTCAGTGCTGCTCTCTCTGTACTCAAGATGTGCAGGTTACAGGTTGTCATTAAAGTCTCTACGGCACAGAGCTGGCAGTCATATAAAAACTGGCAGGCTTGTGTTGGTCTCTGTCCAGAGGCTCTGCAGCCTCCAGCACACTGCACCCTGCTGTCCTGGCTGTGGATTAAGTCCTGCCCTGCCCTTCTTTGCACAATCCTCTTCTTTGTTTAACCCCTTTGCCTTCCTCCCTGGCAAATGCAGTGGGGTAGGGGTTTGGCATAACAATGAAGCTGTAGATAGTTCATTTCCCTCTGATGCCAGGAAGCAAATTCATAAACTTCCAAGAAGGGTTTATAAATCTGTAGAAGACTGAGCCAGACACATGCTGTTTTCAGATTCTACAGGTCACTTCCTGCACTGGAAGAGACCTGGTCCTATTTTCCCAGAAAGGAATGAAGACATGGAAAAGTCTCTCCTGGACTGTAGAGCACTGAAATACCAATAGCTGCTTTAGTGCATGTGCTTTCTGTCAGTCCAGTAAGATTTGAGCACAGACCAAGCCAGACCCAACATACTCACTAACCATGGGAAAAAAAACATTGCCTGCTCATGATTATCAGCCCACATGGCCTGCTTGAATCCCACCAGTCTTCTCTGGTATAAAGGTACCCGAAACAGCATCGGTAGTGTTGGGACCACAGCCTGCTAATTCCTGCCTGGGAACCCCAAACAGTGGCCTGCAAAGACTTGCAGTACTGAGGTACTAGAGAATTGCAGGAAGTTTACTGTTGCTGTTCTGGCTGTCACCAGCCTACATCCTTGGTTCCAGTGAGCAGGGAGGAATACCATGGCATGTGAGGAATGTTCTGAGCACCTGCTGACAGCCTTTAACCCCCAATCCCCTCACTTCACAACTGGGAGAGATACTCAGCAAGTATGTTCCCATCCAGTGCTAAGCACCAAGTACTTGGCTATGGAGCAGCAGTTGGCCTTTTGGGGAATACTGGGAAACCCTTCTTTTAATTTCTTTTCAACTTTCTAACTCTTTTCATTAGCTGCTGTGTCAGAAGGCAGCACTGGAAAATGTGTCTTCTTTACCTTCTCAGTTAACAGCTGCATCTGGAGGGAGTATTAGGAAGCAGCATTTATACTGTAACAGTGGTTCTTCAGCAGTAGTTCATTACAGGCCTACACATGCTCCTTCCAGGCTTATTTTAACAAGGAGGGAGATAAAGGACTAAAATGACAGAGGCTGATGGATGTGGCAGCTGGGATGAGCCAGTCCCTATTTTAAGCATGCAGGCAAGATTTGGGGTCAAGTTGGAAAGGGTACAGAGTGATAAAGTACCAGTGAACACAAAAACAGCTTGAAGCATGGCCCTCCTCTTTCCATATTCTTCTCCAACACCTCTCAGTCCTGCTGACAGGCTGACCTGGGAGGAGTGTTGCTCTTGTCTGCTCAACACAGGCCAGCAGGGTCAAGCCCAAGGCACTCACACACCCCATGGGTGCAGGGGGCCTGGGCCACAAAAACCCAATCAAACCATGGGACTTCCTTAGGGCTCCATCTCTCTCCTCTCCTGCTCCCCTGCTGCTCCTGCAAGAACAGTGACAGGGCAGCAATCCTCTCACATTCACTTCTCTTTCCTGAAGCTGCCATGGGAGTGTGGGCAAAGTAGCTTTATAGATGAGTAGGTATAGATGAGTCTGGTGGCTTGAGCAGCAAGGCTGTGAGATATGGGCAAAGGTGCCCTGTTGAGTATTACTTCTCTGCAGGGATCTGACACAGTCTGTTCACTCGCCCTTTGTTAAACAGTTCTGCACTGATTTTTCTTTCACTTAACTGCAAGATCTGAAGAAATATTGCAGAAGAATCTACAGAGTGTAAAACTAATTTGTTCCTGACTTGCTCTGACCCAGTGATTTTACCTGGCTATTCTTTTATGTGAAAAATGAGTACATTATGGGTGCCAAGATGTCCTACAAGACTATCCCCATTGCTTGCCGATGTGGGAGAGGTCTGTCGTTTTTGGCTGAGTGGGCATTTGCTTTGGGTTTGCTTTCTTGCTTGCCCTGACAGAAAGGCTAGGCTGAGTTGGTAAGAAGTTTAACTGATGGATGATGGAATGAAAGGGAGAGTAAACATTTGGTGCAAGATGGCCATGAGAGGTCAGATCTAGGAGCTTGCCTGGAACCAGTGACTCTGACTGCCTTCTCAGATAAAGCAATGCATATCTTGCACAACTCCTGCTAAGGCTAAAGATTTATTCCAAGTTTACACTTGTGTAACAGGACACCATATAGCCTGATGCAGATGTCCAGAAATACACTGACCAAAACCATTGAAGCAGGAATGCTTAACACCAGAATATGCCTTGGAACCACCACCTCTCCCCAATGTCAGCTTCCCTGAGGATGATACTTGCAGAGGCTCTGCATGAGTCAGGGATCATTCCAAGGAAGTACAGTAGAGGCATGCAGAAGGACACATAGACATGTGCAGGCATAGTCTGTTCCCTCTCTGAAACATAGACTCCCTAACCAACTTAGGAGACAGGGAACAAAAGGAAAAGAGCATGTTGATATTCGTGAGTCTTTCATCTGCAGTAAAGAACTTGAACAGGGTTGGTGATCAGGTCAGGCCTATGCCCAGCAGAGTGATTAAATTAACAGAGTTAACAGAGACCAAAAGGCATACCCAGGGCTCATCAGGCCATAGCCAGGGCACATAGCTAGGGCTCATCCAAGAGGATTAGAGCCCCACTCTGTCAGCACAGTATTCTTAGGCCTTATTTTATTCTGTGAGGAATGGAGCAATAGAAGGTCCAGCAACTGAATTAAATAGCTGCTGTTCTTCCCTTCACCCTTATCCTCTCTCCTGCTTTTTCAGATTCGAAAGAGAAGCAAAGCGTGCCGTGGAGGCCTGTGGGAAAATGATGTTCTAGTATCTATCAATGGGAAGTCATGTGCTGGCCTGTCCCATGCTAATGCCATGCAGATCATCGATTCCTCCAACGGCATGCTCAACATCCGTGTGAAAAGGTAACCTGCTCCCAAGTGCCAGTGCTGTGACAGTGCAGGCAGTAGGGTGCTTTCATCCAGTACAGCAGCTGCCCACATCCAGCAGAAACAAGGCAGGCAGGAGGCCTTTGTTTTCACCATACTGCAAAGTGTACTAGGAGGACTTACCCATGTCCTAACCTGGCTAACATGTTGACATCTCAATGTTTTGCCCTGTCTTACAGTGGACTCTCATAGTCCAACGGTCTGCATACTGACTCCCACAAAGATGAGAGGTGTGTGGCTAACCCCCTTTTATTGTGGGAAGAAATATCTGTGGTAGTCTCTAGTTCAGGGCAATACTGGAGATCAGGCTGAAATTTATGGACAAAAAACAGTCCCAGTAATGTTCCTTGTCCTCCCTGTGCTAAGTTAACCCAGTGCGTCAGTGCATGCTGGATGTGGCCCAAGCTATAAATGAATAATCCTATAAAGGTGAAGGCAGCAAAGCTGTGTGAGGTCCTACCCAGTCCACATTGCTGTCTAAACAGAAGTCACCTTCAGAAAATCAGGCCTGGTGAAGGGAGCTGGGAGATGTGATCTTTCACAGTCCTGAAAAGACAGAGAGAGCACTGTGAGCATTGGGAAGGGACAGCCACACTGGTTGCTGTCATCTGTAAAGCAGGAGCAGAGGTGGGCAGTGCCCAGAGAAGGAAAGCCTGAGCATGTAGGAACTTTCCCTTGGTTTCAGAGAAAGTGCTTTCTGATGTTGGGATGGATAAGTTCTATACAAGGTGTCCAGAATAGCTCCTGGTCCATTGCCAAGGCCTTATCTTGCACCATTGGAGCCTATCTTCAGCAAACAGATGCCTGGGCAAATTTTAATCGGTCAAGATCAGCACACTTTGAATTAACCTAGTGACAAAGGCAGGCTTCTTGCATCCTTCTGGATGGAGCCAACACTGGATGGTTTGGAAATAATGAAGTCAGTTGGCTTCATTTGGAGCAGTGGTGAAATCATCAAATGTTGCTTTCTTCATCACATTTCTATTCCTACTTCATCTTCACATTCCTACTTCATCTTTACATTCCCAGAGAAAACACCAATCATTCCTGTTCAGAAAGGAGAGGTAGCTGGATGACTCTGGAGTATGTGTATTTCAGAAAAAGAGGAAGGGAAAAACACTGACCTGGCAGTACAGAAAAAGAGAAACTGGCTTACAAGCAGTTATGCTTCTCAGTTACCTGATCAAGTGTTTCAAGAAGAGAAGGAACTGTTTCATTTTGCTTGTGGAATGTTGAGGTTTCTCACCAGTGAGATTTCATAATGGCAAATAGTATTAAAAAAATTAACTGCCAGAGAAATTCTCCCACCCTTAGCTTCCACAAAAGTTTGCATTTGACATAAATAAAATTTTTTCACATTTTAGAATTGGGATCCAAGTCATGAGTTGAACAGCTTTAGAGAGGCAATGCTATCTGCCCGGCTTCATGGTATGCATGTTCAGAAGGCAAATACTTAGGACTCCTTTATAGATCTTATAAGCCCTGGTGAATCTGACAAGAGAAGGAACAAGTTCCCAGCTCTCTCTGTGTGGGCTGAAGTCAAACTGCCATGGAAGTCCAGAGTCACTCTTGAGGAGAGTGAAGATAGAATGGGCTCTTTTTCTGTCAGCACAGCCAAGTCTTCTTCCCTCTGGAAGCCAGCAGTAGGGCTGACTGCCCCAGTCTGCCTGGCACCTATTCCAGTCATCCTTCCAGATGTCTTAGAGGTTTGAACTTGATACATCTAAGCCAAAGGCAAATGTCACCATGGATTGGGCTGGCCAGCATGACTGCATATGTTTGTCAAAACCCAGGTACTGATAGTTAGTTTGTGAAGCAGTCCCACAGTGAGCAGGCTAAATATTAGTGTGGTCTCCTACCACCAGATACCATAGTCCTATCCCCAAAAACCACTTGGGCCTTTATATCCTATTTGCTATTTACTCGTGTAGCGGTCAGAGCAAACAAATAGCACGGACTTCTTGGGAGCTCAGTCTGAACTAAAGCAGTTTGGGGGTGCCAGGATCTGCAGATCTAACACAGTCTCAGCTGCAGGAGCAGCTGGAGTGCAGTGTGATAGCTGAGCACCAGCCGTTCTCTGCTGACAAGCCGCAGGCTGAAGGGTAGGTCTCACTGTCCTGGGGAATGTTTGCTATGCAGGAATTCATCTCTCCAGGAGAAATGCCTGGGGAGCTGATTAGGCTCGGTAGATTTAGGGCATTCTGACTTTTGAATGTTTAACACCTGGTTTCCATAGAGCTGTGAAGCAGAAAATCAGAATGAGAGCACATAGCTGATGTCAGGGATAAGTCTGTCCTTGGCATCTACACTTCAGGTGTCTGTACCACCTGAAAAACACCTGTAACACTGTCCCAGTCCATCGCCCTCTCTCATGCCAGGATTTCCTTCCAGTTTAGCGACACAAACAAAACCTCGCTCACCACTTTTCCTTCTCCTCACAGGATAGTTGGTGGGGACCAGACTGGCCCGTGGCCCCAGCGTTCCCCTTCTCCAGGGCAGCAAGTGCTCTCCCCACCATCTGTGCCCAGCCCCTCAGCACAGTTACTCAGCTCTGAACCAGCAGGAGCCCCAGCCACTGCACAGCCCTCACAGCCATGGAGGTCACAGAGGCACCTGGAGAGCCTCACGTCCCCACCGGACAGTGAGGCCTACTATGGTGAGACAGACAGCGATGCTGACAATGTGGCGCAGGAGAAGCACCGCCGGGCTCGCAAGAAGAGCCCGCGCTCCCCACCTGACAGCACCACCGGCAGGGCGGACGCGCCTCAGGACGAGGTGTCCCTGTCGGAACAGAGTGGCTACGAGAGCATGCCGGAGGCTGCTGCGCAGGGGGGAGCAGAGCTGGCCAGCTCCAGCGGGGTGGCCAAGAGGGAGATTGTCTGCCTGCCCGGCAGTCGCACAGACACTCCATTCTCAGACAGCGAGGGACAGTTGCGGCCACCGTCAACAGAGGGTCGGGAGCCTTCTCCAGAGGCAATGCTCCTGCCCCATGCTACCAAGGCCATCCGAGCGGAACGCCATCTCATCCCCATGGTGGGGCCAGTGGAACATCCGATTGATGAAGACCTAACCACCACTTACACAGAGAAAGCCAAGCAGGCCAGTAAGTTCTCTAAACTTCCATGCCTTTTCCTTGTGCTGGATTCTCCTTCCAAAAGACTGGTTCCTGCAAATGCCAGGTGGGTTAGCTCTTCTAGCTTACTAAGGAGCACCAGTCAAATCAGACCTGCAGAGACCAGGGCTTCCTGCTGCAGCTTTGGCCCTGAGGTTTACCTCACCCAAGGCATCCTAAGAAAAAAGTAAGATAAAGGGTCTGGGGTCAGGGGTCTGGGAGTCACTCACACAGGCCACAGCCATTCAACCAGATGTGTTCTAGTACCTCTATGTGCTGGAAAAAGGATGGGTGTCATTGGTTTCTTCAACACTTTGGGCTAAGAAGACTCAGGTGACATGATGGTGACAGGAAAAAACTTGGAGGTTAAATTTCCCTGGCTTTCCAGAGATCTTATGGCAGCTGAGTTTGCTCCTTAGTTACCTGTTAAGCACAAAACACTCATTTCAAGAGGGTTCCAAGGAGCCCTCTGTTCAATTCAGCTCTCCATGGACACAGAGGCATGCAGTATTAAACAATTAGCGACAATGAGAGATAATTTGTACACAGCATAGCTGCAAAAGAGCTTTGTCAGAAACAGATTTATTTCTCTCACCCTGTCCAGCTCAGGGAGGGACTCTTCTACATCAACTTTCTCTGCAGGCACTCATTTGAGCAAGGATGCCATGTCTGACTGGCAGCAGCTGGTGAGTTCAGGTACAATTGATAATTTTTTAGGTGTTGGCAGCAAGGACAGGCAGGAGATGGTAAATTAGCTCTTGAAACAGTTCCCTGTAGTGCCATCTCTGATAGTCATGACATTTCCATGTGAAATAAAGTACTGAAAAAGGTAGTGTAGTGATGGGTGATGGACCTGAAGTGACCTTGATTGTGAATATCTTTCCTGGTTTCTGCTACACATGGAGTATTTCAAGCACAAACATGAGGGCAGAACAAAGTGTTATCTGATTTCACAGTTGTGATCTATCTAGTAAAATTAAAAACAAGATAATCATAAACCTATTTTCATATATGTACCTCAGTGAGTATAACTGACTAGTTTACATTTCTGGAAACAAAGCAGGTTTTAAGAATGTGACTTTTAAAAAGTGACAGAATGGAAAACAGAGACACAGAAAAGATATAGACTGAATCAAAAAGAAAACATGTTGATTCTAACTTCTGATCCTCTGCTTTAAATGCTAGACATTTTACCCAGGACAGATAATATTGCAAGGCAATTATTAAACCTCTCTTTTTGCTTATCCTCGAACTAAATATTCTTTTATCTCTTCTGCCTAAGGAGTCCTATAGAGGTAACTTGCAAACCTAGGTGCTTCCTTCAGACAGGGCACTGTCCTACTGCTCTTTCCAGTGTTACGAGGGGAGGCTCAGTCGGGTCTCTCATGTCTTGCTCTGCTGGGCAGTGCACCTAACCTAGCACCTTGTTCTACTTCTTCCTAGTCTTTAGCTCTCATTTTCCTTAGGACAGAAAAGAAATCAGCAAATTCAGCCTCTCTAAAGATGAAGCTATTTTTTCCCCCTTTGAATAATGTACAAGCATGAGGTGAATGTTGAGAAAGGCATGTTCAGCTGCTCCCTGCCACCTGATAGTCCTAGCAGTAGAAGAGCAATTGCTTTACATCAAGACTTATTTTCATGGACAGTATCAGTACAGAGGGATCCCAGAAAAGCTATGTATTTAATTCAGAGCATTTCTGATGGCAAGATAATATCCCATGGCAGGAGATGATGCAACAATATTGCCAACTGGAGTTAGGGTTCCCAGAAGCACTGCAGACTGAGGTAATATTTTATTCTCCTGTCACTCCTTCACTGCTCACCCTCTTTTTGGTTTATGCTTGGCCAGGGGTATCCTTCTGTAGGAGTTACCCTGCCAGGGATGGTAACTCACAGGGTCTTTTCTTGCATTAGGGATCTTATCATTAAATGAGAAGGCAAAATTCTACAACCTGATAATGCTGGAGCACAGCAGCCATTAAAACAGAAGTCCAGTTCAGCAGCCAGTGACTGTGAGGGAAGGAAGCAAGTAAGGAAGAGGGATGGAAGGTGTTCATTATGTGGTGAACAGAGCTAAAGAACACCTATACCTGGAATAAACATGGGTATAAACACAGCTGGAGGACTGGGGACTGCTGAGCTGTACTGGCTCCATGGGAGGCTGCTTGGACTGGCATGGGAGGACAGGGTAGAACATCTCTTGCCAGAAAGGTGTAGCCTTGGTGAGGATGTCTGGGCTAGCATTGCTCCAGCTCCTACAGCTACTCTAGGCTCCCATGGAGACAGCAGCATTTAAAGCTCTATTCCTCTGCCTTTCCTTAGCAATATCCACAGCACAGTAGCCTACTCTGGGACATAGACACTCCTGGGTTTTGCTAAACAGGAATGCAAAATAATGGTTTAGAAGTCAGGCAGGGTTTTAAAACCTGAGTTAGCTCCAGGAAGTGACTTGGAATATTAATTTTGAGAGCCTAAGTATTGATATATTTGCAGGAGACATTTAAGAGCCATTGTGAATACCTGAACAGATGGCTGCCTTTTGAAGCATTATTTAAATATATTGCCCGTTCATCTGCTAATACACCCTGCTTGCCTTGCCACAGCCTTCTTCAGGTCCCACCACTGCACCATAAGAATGTAAAAAACTGCTTTTTGTTTTGATGGGACTGCTCCCTAGATGGTTCCTTATCCTTTCTTCCTGGAATGTACTACTCTGTCATGTCTGCTCTGATGTTTACTTCAATTTTGGGGGTATTTCTTGTGTCCTTTATTTTAATTCTTTCTAACTTTTCACTATCATTTTTAAGCTCCGGAGACTGTTTCCCTTTCCCACTCGTCCCTGCACCTCAAGCAAACAGAATTGCAGGTACATTATTTCTAGATGAGTATTTAGAAACATCAAACCTCTATATGAATAACTGTAATCCCAGAAAAAGAACAGAGATACATAATAATTCTTTTGCACACTACCAAGAGGAGCAACTGACATTCTTCACTGCTATGTTGCCCTGCAAGGATCTCAGTAATACTGCTACTGCTATCAGCTCTTGGGTTTTCTGTAGCTTTGTTCTTTACTTTCTATCTCTAGAACTTTTGCAGACTTCTGTCCTCACTGTGTGTGCTCCAGAGCTCTGAGCTTTCCAGATCATAGGCAAGTGGGCTCAGCTCCTCTGTCTCCCCTTTCCTGAATGACTTTCCTTTGTTTCTGATGGTGTTAGAAAATCTGATCTGTGATGACTATGTATTGTCCTCAAGATCATCAATGAAATGAGGAAGTGCTTTCCATATTCCCTCACCATCTTTCCTAGTTGTATCAGGATGGGCAATCAGTCTTTATGTTCTGATTGTTACTGAGGCATTTTCTCTTCATTTTCATCTGATGAACATTTTTCCAGTACATGTATTTTTTTTTTGCAGTAACTCCACCAACATCTGGGAAATACAGCTGCTTTCCCTGCTTTCCTCAGAGCATATAAATCACGTGGTAATTGCTGGAGGTGATGCTTTTGTTTGATACCTGCTTTGCATCACAGTAACATGGGAGCAAATGGAGCTCCCTTATTTACATTAAGTAAAGCTTTGACTCCCAGAGCAGAACACAGTCTGGTGGCAAGTACCAACAGCTCAAGATCAAGATGGCAGCAGCTGATGATGCCACCACGATGTCCTGCATGCCATCAGCTGTTGAGCTGTGCTTTTTCTTCCCCAGCAAAGACACAAGGTCTTAAAGCTCCTTAGAGAGCCAACAGCCCCTGCAGTGAGGTTTGGGCCTCTCTCCTTCCAAAGTTATTGCTCTATTTTCACATTGGTATTGGCTCATTTTTCTCAGCCTGTGGGATAGCCATGTACATCATCCCAGATCTCCACAGGACACATGACTTGGATGTGCCTGCTTAAAACCCACTCAGAGCATTACTGGTGCAGACTGCTGGGGCACTGTGGGGAGCCACACATCACCCAAATGCAGGGGAACTTGCCCTACAAATAAAAAACTTCAGTCTGCATCACTACCCAGTGGCTTCTATGCACCCTGGTGTTTTGCTCAGTGGGGTAAAAGAGCAGCTGGCAAACAGTGACTCTGCTATCTTTTAAATGAACTATTGAACAGTCATGTTTGTGAACAGCTGGTATTTTGCCTAATCTGTAGATATATAAGTATGAATTTGTTTCCTTCCCCCTAAAATGTACATTTCTCTTTTTTGAGAGGTGATTAATCCCTGGGGAAACTGGGGATCTTTCGGCCCTTGGCTTGTCATCACTGTAAAGGGCCAAACTAAGTCCCTTCCTGAGATGATTTATGTGCAACTTACACAGTGCAGAAGAAAATACAAATTAAAAAATCTACACCAGTTTCAGGAGGTTAGCAGAAAGCGGGAACTTGTGTCAGGGAGAATCAGACTATAGTTTTCACAAGTAATTGCAGGTGAGGTTTTTTGGTTTCCCATAGGTTCTGCAGTGTCCTTCTCTTCTCACCCCACCTTCATAGGCTTGGGATCCATCTTTAGCCAGGGTTTCTTCTTCTCAGCCACTTGTGCTGTCTGAGGTGCACTGTATTTTCACCCCCATCCTAAATCATCTCACAGGACAAAAGGCTCAGCCTTACTCACAACTGGAAATAGGATAGACATACCAGGACAGCAGTCTATTCCTAACTTGCTATCACACTGTGCCAGTGAAAGAAGTGCTTCAAAATAACTTAATTTAAACTTATCTCCTGAACTATTTTTAGTTCCTAGGATTCAAGAGCCTCTCCATGTATGGTAGAGGAAGGGAGGGAAAACTGAGTGCGGAAATTTCCTCCTCTGCTTTATATGGGCCTGGCTGCCTGTGCAGAGTCATCAAAGTTACTACATTCCATATCAGAAAAGGAAATCCTTCTTGTTCAAAGCGGATGTACAGCAGCACTTGAAAAGACAGAATGCTTATAAATAAGTGGCCTGTTCATCGGCAGGTCATAGAGATTACCTCTTCTAAGAGTGACTGCAGTCGTG